TGCAGATAACAGTGCTTGGCTGGGTTTTCCATCACTTTCTCTTTGTTCCAAGGTGGGAAGCTGCACTATGTGAGGACTGACTGTTCCCTGGTTCTCAGCAGGTCCTGATACATGAATGGCTCTACACAGGGAAACAAACACCTCCAGACTCCTGTGAATGCACATTGTGCATGACGAGTAATGATGTTGTTCTGACAACATCTGTCTCCTCCAGGTGCCTCCATCTTTGGTTCTCCCACAGGCACAGGATTCCAGGGCAGCTGACACTCCTCTGATTCCCATCACCTGCAAGGACTCTCACCAAACCCAGGTCTCCAGCACTTCCACACGCTGGTGTAAATGGCATCATCTTCATGGGGATTGATCTGGAACTCTACTCCATGGATGATTTCCAGCTCTTTTTCTGACAGAACTCTGAGGCAGGTTATTCACCTGCTGATGGGGACAAAAATGGCTGCTCTTCACACTCAGTAAGGAGCTGAGTGCTCAGATCTCAATACATGGCAGCTAGTGACTCCATGACCATCTGTCCAGATGGGTGAACCCTGCAAGGCAAGTCCGGTGAGGCCTTCAGTGAACCCAAGTCCCAGGGGTGCTGTGCCAAGGATAAGGCCACCATCCTAGGAGTGGGGTTGACTGGACAGAGGGAGCCCTGTTATTTGGTGGCAGCTGTTTTGACCTAAAACTACGCAGCTAGCAGCTTAGTTCTGAATGAAGGACAATGAACTCTTCTTCTCTAGAAAGGGGATCCTGTGACCAGGAGGTGGCAGCTTGGAATCTGTGCTCTTGAGCACACCTGTCTTTAATGCATTTGTGTCACTAGGATGGGGAAGAGAGGGTGTGTCTTTGTGTATGTTGTCTAGATGTTTCCACTGTTGACATTTTTTTTCTGGAGTAAATCCTTCTTCACCATCCATGTTCCAGCAGGACCATCTCCAGTTGTGGTAGGACCTTTGAAAGCAGTTTCTTTATTCTGACTCTGACAGAAGCTCTTGTAACTCATCATGCCCTCACACTGGAGGTGAAGTCCTGTCTCTCATTTTGTGTTTTGGTGAGAACTCCATATGAGATCTACCCTTGGCACAAATCAAATGCACATGCTGCTTGATATCCCCAGGTACAGGGATGGACAGCTGACCTCTGGAACCTAACCACCTGCATCACAGGATGCTTCTTCCCTGGAAAGGCAGTTCTCCTTGCTCCCACACCAGCTCCAAGCAACCACCAGGCTGCCCTTTTCTGGTGCTTCTGGACTTCCTGCATTTCTAATGTGTGAGGAACATTTTGTTTGCTCAGCTGTGGTCACTTCACTCAGCATGATGTCCTCAAGGTGGATCTATGTAGTTGCTCAGAGCAGGATATCCTTTTAATTATTGTAATGATACTGAAAAATTAAAAACAAAATACAAGTGAGGAGCAACCAGTGTTCATCTGAGAACACAAATAAATGCCCATTGAGGTGCATGAATAAGGAGGAATCCTTAATTCTGCTGTGACTGGGTTGAAGGCAAGGGGTGTTTGTGAGAAAGGGAGGCATGCAGGTGCAAGACTAGTGGGGAGGAACTTCTGCCATAGTAGACAAGCTCAGTTAGTCTTTACCTGCACATGGTGATGAAAATTCAGAAGTTTATCTGTAATTTTCAGTCCTATAGTCAGGATCCTTTTCCCATGTTTTCTGTGCAAACAGTTGTGTGAAATGCAGTGTCGGGGGCCCAGTAAGTAGGTGGCTGTGCTGAGTCCACACCATGTACAGGTTGGACAAGGAAGACATGTGAAGATATATGTCTGGAATGGCTGCTCCTACTTTTTTTTTTTCCTAACAAGGAACAGCCTGAGGGCATCAGAGTCTTCCAAAAACCACCCCCTAAGAACTTCAGGGCTCAGGGGTGTTGGCTGTGCCAGTGAATCTGGCAGGTCCAGGGAAAGGGCTTCCTGGTGGCTTCACAGAGCCCTGGCTATGAGGTTCCCTACAGAGTCCCGGGGGTTTACTAAGGCCAGTTCTCTTTGTGCAGGGAATTAAAGCACACAGTGTCCCTGAGGGAGTTTCTGGAATTCAGGGAACAACATTGAATTCTGGACTAGAGATGCTGAGATGTTCATGCTGTTTGAGCCATGACAGGAACCTCCCCAGCATGATGCACAGCTGGCATCCAGGAGTGGGTGGGACTCATAAGCTCAGAGCCCCCACCCCAGGAGCAGTTGAAGGGGGGCTGGGAAGGGATTTCCTGTGAGAATCTGTGTCTTTTTCTTTTCATGAAAACCTCTAAAATAAGATTTGTGCATGTGGTGACTGTAAATATCCTGTTGTATCAGGGTATTCACCGAACTCCATAATACATGAGAACCAGAGTCAGTGGTATTTCTTGGGTGTCTTTATATTTGAATTGTAAGGAACTGGGAAGAAGGATGGTTTCATTTACTCACTAGGTGGAGGATTTTGGAGACACACTGATCCAGGAAGAAGACATTCAGACATCAAAGGCCAGAATTGGTCCAGGAGGTTTCCATGTCACTCAAATATGAGTGCACAATGACAAGCATACACTGTGGGAGCTTGTTCCTCAGTGGGAGGAGCTATACCAGCACAAAGCTCAGAGATCTGCCAGGGGACCCATATCCTATAACTCTGTGTAGGACTTGGACCCTCAGATGCTCTTGGATCATTGTCCCTGTGTCCTCTACCTTCTCTCAGGTGGGGTCAAGTCTTCAGCTATGAAACACTCTGCCCTATGCACATGCAAATGAGAAGAGGTTAAATGTGGGTCTTTCTGTGCCTGGAGCATCACTCACAAACACTGTCCCCTAGAGAAGTTCTGATGGCACAGCCCTTCACCATAGACTGGAGCTGGAGAGGCCTCTTCCTGGTGGCAGTGACTACAGATAAGGAGCTCTCCAGTCCATGGGTTCAGGGGGACTGGGGACATTCAAAGAGAATTTCCACACATGCCTGTCTCCTCTCAATAGTTGTCTACTCCCAGGTGCAGCTGGTGCTGTTGGGGGCTGAGGTGAGGAGACCTGGGCCTCAGTGAATATATTCTGAAAGGATTCTGGATATTCCTTCATCAGACACTAGCAAACTGGATGTGAAAGGCCCCAGGACAAGGGCTTGAGTGGATGGGGAGAATCACCCTGATGATAGTAAACAGAAGTACACACAGGAGTGCCAAAGCAGAGTCACCATGACTGTAGGCATGTTCATGAACACAGCCCACATGGGGCTGAGCAGTCTCAAAGCCAAGGACTTGAGCATGTATTGCTGTGTGAGAGACACAGTGTGATGACCCACATGCTGAGTGTGTCAGAGACCATGATGGGTGGGGCAGTTTGGCTGAGCAGAGGACGTGGCAGAGTAATGGGCCTTCTGACTTCCTCACACACAGTCAGGATCTGAGAGACCAGAACTGATGCTGCCACAGGCACATCAGACATTCTGGGAAGGTTCCAGTAGACCAGATACACAGCAGGGAGGAGGCAGAGAAGATGCTACAGAAAGGACTCTGTTGTTTGTTGTGATTGTGCAGGGGGCACATTTGAAGCCTCCTTGTCCTCTGAATGAAGTGTATCATTGAGGTGTCATCTTGTGTAATTAGTCAGGGTTACTGCACATTCACTTATTTGTGAAAACTGGAATTGTTCTTGGGGAAAAATAAGTATATTAAAGCAAATGATGTTTTCTATGTTCTTGTCTCTGAGCCAGCACCTCACAGATCACATTCTGGCAACAAAGTCCAGGTCCCAGCACAGTCTGTGATGTCACAGCCTTCTTTCAGCCCCCTCTCACGGGGAGATCCTGTGGATTCTCCTCCCCTGAGATCAAAGACCTGTGAGTTCCCCTGTCTCTGGGCTAATACTGATGCCATCTCAAAGCAGGGGACAGCATGGGGACACCCTTGACAATGGAAGACCTACATTCAGCCTGTACTATGTTCCTATGTCAACTGAAACAATTATCAAATGCCTGGCATTGCAATCTACACACATTTGTCTTGTATATTCTGGAGGTCAGAGTAAAAGTGTCAGTTCCAACCATCTTCACTCAACATCCATGCAATGCCCTCCATGCATGGAGTTGCTTTTTTTTTTTCCATTTTGCACATCTGTACTATGAGTACATCAGGTTCAAGTTGAGAAGATACTCATTATGTGTGGCCATGGTGAAAAACTCCCATTGGTCACATGCTGACATGAGTAGAGAAAATAATGCTCTTCATATAAATTATGATTTTATTTATGCATGTTATTTTCTGTTAGTAGTTTGCACCAAGGTTTTCCATAATCTAATTTATAACATTTCAACATATTTACCCCTCAATTTCTACATAAATCTTTAGTGAAGCACATCTGGTCATGACTGAGTTTCTTCTGTATCCCAAATGTATGAACCTGGTTTTACCACAGAATGTGGAAAATGGAAAATGAGGAAGCAAAGATGCTGCATATTCAGCACCAAACTCCACTGAAGAAACATGTCCCAGGATCTCTGCCCACTTCTCTGGAGAATTCACCCTTTTGTCTCCCAAAGAACAACACAGATGCTCCACCTCCCACAACACTGGGTCCACGTGCTCTAGGGTCACACTGTGATCTGAGCTCATACTCTGATTCCTTTGTGGAACGAATAGGTCAGAAGGAACTTCCTGTGGCATCAACAGGAACCTCCTGCACTTTCAATGCTCCCTGTTGTCATGAGTATTGAATTGCCTTGGTGTGTCCATTACTCGAGATTTTTAAAGGCATATATCATTTTAAATATCTCTGGTTTATGAAAATTTACTCTCTTAGGTCAGTTATGCATCTCATGGAGCAGTTGGGTCAGTGGGGATGGCACAGGTTCAAAAGTGGGGAGTAATTGTTATCAAATATGCACCCTTAGACATGTCACACTCTGTGACCATGTCCTTCATGTCACCACCCAGCCCCAGAGCTCCCTATATAGTAGGAGGACATGCAAATAGGGCCCCTCTGCTCATGAAAAGCAGCCCAGCCCTGACCCTGCAGCTCTGGGAAAGGAGCCCAGGCCAGGATTAACAGGTGTCCCCAGTCCCTGCTCAGGACAGAACACAGACCACTCACCATGGAGTTTTGTCTCAGCTGGGTTTTCCTTGTTGCTGTTTTAACAGGTAATCTATAGAGAATGGGAGACACTGAGTGTGTGAGTGGATACATATGAGAGATAAAGTGGATGGATGAGCATTTCCTGACCTGACATTTTTGTGTTTGCAGGTGTCCAGTGTGATGTGCAGCTGGTGGAGTCTGGGGGAGGCTTGGTGAAGCCTGGGGGGTCTCTGAGACTCTCCTGTGCAGCCTCTGGATTCACCTTCAGTAGCTACTATATGATCTGGGTCCACCAGGCTCCAGGGAAGGGACTGGAGTGGGTCTCAGAGATTAGTAGTAATGGTGGTAGCACATACTACGCCAACTCTGTGAAGGGCCGATTCACCATCTCCAGAGACAACGCCAAGAATGAGCTCTACCTGCAAATGAACAGCCTGAGAGCCGAAGGCACGGCCGTCTATTACTGTGTGAGAGACACAGTGAGGGGAAATCATTGTGAGCCCAGACACAAACCTCCCAGAGGGAGGCAAGAAGCCTGCCCTGCAGAGGCTGCTCCCGACACCAGGGGGCGATCAGGACACACTCATTTCTTGGTTCAGTTCCAGAACCTAGGCAGATACACAGTAACTCTTGGTTTCCTGGCCCCTGTGGTTTAACTCTCCACACAGCAGTTTTCTTCTGGGAGTGTCCCTTCCTTCATGATTCTGTGCTTACCTATTAACTGAGTGAATTACAGAGGCTTGCTGTAATAAGAGGAAAACATTTTCACATGCACAGAAGGCAGAATGTCACATTTGCTTACTTTCATCCTAATGAATCGTAGTCGAATCATCAAATCTTCATGACCCACATCAGTTACATCCAGTCTGAGGTCCTGCTTGACCCAACACTGCAGCCCAGCCCCACACACCTCAGAGTCCCAGCCGGCCAGGAGCGGGACCTGTGCTTGCTGGACCGTGGGCGCCAGAGGCATATGAACCAAATGCCAGAGGACAAGGGCCCGGGTGCTGATGATCACTGACCTGACTCCATGTTCATGACGACCAATAGCAGCTGACATCATGCAGATGCAGACGGACCCCACCACACCTTGGTACAGATATCCAGGCCGATGCAGCCACACAGAAAGAGGGACAATGGAATAGTTTGTCACTTCACTGTAGAGTCTCTTGAGACTTTTCAGCAAGACAGGAATGGCTGACCCAGGCCACGTAAAGAGCCTGGTTCTGATTCTTATTGTCCATCCGTGAGAAGGTCCAAGAGGGCCCTGCTCAGCAGGACAGGTTTGTGTGGTTTCAATCTCTCACCTGCATCAAACTAGAGAAAGTCACCACTTTATGAATTTCCCACCTGTGCACAAGAGGAGAAGGATGACATTGATTTGTCAGCATCGGACAGCAAAAACTAAGCCCTTACTTCTTGTTCCATCAAACTAATAGAAACCATTTGTGAGAATACGAAGGAAAAAAAATTATGGCTACAAAACAAATTTAGCCCTTAAAAAATGAGAATAGTGGTTATAGGTAAAGAATAAGGGGAAGTAATAACAAATTATACATACATCTTAGTTCTAAGTCTAGGGTGGAACCTGTCCATTCTACACACTCCTCAGCTTGTTCTGAAGGACTTGCAACCCCTTTCTGCTCCCAACTATGAGGAGTGTCCACAGGATTAAGGGGATCCTCAGATTGGGGAGGTCTGCTGGAGTAGCCTATCAACTGGATGGAAACATGTCTTGATTCCTTTCGTGTTCCTATGGGTGACTGTTTGTGTCACTCAAAAACTCACACACTAATATTTGAGACTCATGATATGATGTTAGGATGAGTGACCTTAGGAGAAGTGACATTCCTGGGGTGGAGCTCCCCTGGACAGGATTAGGGCCTTTGTAACAGAGGACTGAGGAAGCTGTCTTGCCCCATCCACCCTCTGAGATTACAGGGAACAGGCATTAGGGAGGGGCTTTTACCTGTCGATCAAAACTGCAGACACCTGTGGTTGGATTTTTCACATCCAGATCTGTGAGAAATAGATTTCTGTTGCTGGCAATGACCCAGTCCACAGGCCTTTGTTAGAGCAACCAGAATGGTTTAGGATTGCAGTGTAACATGACCACATTAGTTGTCTCCATGGGGTTTTGCTGCTATTTTTGTTGTAAAAGGTTCATCATCAGTGTCCTTCCAGTGATGTTCAAGGACAGTTTTCCCCTGGTCTTTTCTTCCACAGGAAAAAAAAACAAAAACAAAAAACTGTCCTGATTGAAGGTAATAGGAGGCTCCCAAACAGATGTAATATGGAGGAAACATTAGAAGTAGATAAAAGAAATGAGCCCTTTCAGTGTTTACCACACAGCAATGAGCCAGGTTCAGGTTTCACTGGAAGTAAAATCCGTGATCCTCCCAGTAACCCATCACAGGGACATGGCTGATGTGTGCTTGAAGGCATGGACATGAACAACGTTCAGGAGGAGCATTGGCCAAAGGGATTTGAGAGGTCATTTAGGTTTGATCTTGTAACTAAGTAAGTCTTTTTTTCAAACTTTGCAGAGATTTGGTATAATAATGACAGTGTAACATGTGGGTCAGAGGAACCCCTTACAGATGAATGCTTCTTGTGCTGTGAGCACCTCAGTCACTTGATGTGACAGTTGGTAAGCCAGTGGGGCCAAAGGGTGAATAGGCTATGCACAGGGTATCCAGGCCAGTTAAAATGCTCTGCATAAGTTCATTCCTACTTCTCACTCTCTTTCTTGATGCTGATGGACTTTCAGTGCACAGACATACAATGAACAGTCATTCTGTCTTGATAGAAAGAAAGTGTCCAGTGTCCTCAGCCCTCGGAGGCTGATGATGGGAGTGAACCTCGACCTGTGTGTTGACACATGGACAAGGTCACACAGGGAATTTATTCTGAGCTGAATAGCATGAAACACTGTGCATGATGAATATCATTAAAATTAAATTGTGTTAAACTGATTGTTGAAATGGGCTACAGCAACAACAAGTCTGCAGCCTGTATACTAACTAGTCTCTTATTAAATTTTCACTTTCACAACAAGGATGCCTGTGCTTCTGAGTTGAGTGGGGTTTCTCACTCACAGACTTCACTTCTCTGTCCCTGGGAAGGAGCACATGTAAATGGGGTGTTCCATGTGCTGATAAACCAAGCCCCACCACTTACCCAACACTTTAGGGAGGGAAGCCCAGCCCCTGAAGCTCTGAACTTTGCACTCATTACACCAGTTAACCCAGAAGAGGTTCCATGAAGTCTGGGATGAGCTGGGCACATGCTCTGATGATTGTACATGGTAACAATATGAAGAAAGTGGGATTTGAGTGTGTCTGTGTCTGCTGATAATGAGAGTCCTTTGTCTAGAGGTGTCCATTGTGAGGTACAGCTGATGGAGTTTGAGGGGACCTGAGATAGCCTGCAGGTCTCTGAGGCTCTCCTTAAAAGGCTTGGATTCACTTCCAGTGACTACTATATAACCTGGATTGGCCAGCCCCCAGGAAAGAGACTGGAGTGGATAGGTGTTATTAGAAACAGAGGTAACAGTCACACAGCAGAATACACTGTGTCTGTGAAAGGCAGTTTCATCTCAAGAGTTGATTCCAAATGCACTCTCTGCCAATGAGCACCTAGAGAACTGAGGACACAGCCATGTATCACTGTGTGAGACACACAGAGGGAAACTCAGGGTGAGGCCTGACACTCACCTCCCTGAAGGAGAGTTGGCAACCATCAGTGGGCACTGAGTGAAGGACACTGGGTGTCCCTGAATGTGGGCAACACCAGGAGCAGTTGCAGGTAGAGGTTTGGGCTTGTTTCCTGGGCTGTTTTCTCTTTGTGTCACAGTTTCCCTTAGGCAAGGTCTCTGGTTTCCTGATCCTGTGCTCACCTCTGAATTCTCTGAGTTAGAAATATTTATTGTAAAGACAGACAATGTCCCTTTGTGGACAAGAGGCAGAGTCATTTTCAGACCCTCTTGTGCCCAATTCCAGTGAATAATCAAACCTTCTGACCCTTGTAGTTGAATGTAACTAGAGGCTGTGCTGGACCCAACAGTGTGGCACTGCCCCACAGAGCTCAGTTTCTAACCTGGTCAGCTGCAGGGCACACATCTGCTGGGCAGGGGTCACCAGGTACAAAGATGCCTAGTGGTGATGGTCATTGACTTGGCATCATGCCCAAAGCACCAGGTATAGGTTACATCACACAGAAGGAGGGTGACCCACAGTTCTGTGTGGATGTCCAGGCTGATGACAAAATCACACCAAAGGGACATGGAATGTTTTTCACACACATAGTTGAAATCTCTGGGAAGAACAGAAAGAGTACTTCACCAGGGTAAATATGCTTTGATGGAGCCAGAAAGAGACTTGCTGAGGGTGTTTATTTTGTTGAGGTGTATGTGAGGGGAATCTGCTTTAGGGGATTGTGTGGTTTCAGTCTCCCAGTGGTATCTAAATAGGAGACCTAGACTATTATCATATGTCCTCTGAGTGTTGAATGAAGAAGAGGCAGAAATTAGACTTCTTTGGACCCCAGTCAAATATAAAATAATAAAAATGGTGACTACCTATTTCACTTAAAAACGGTAAAAATGAGCAAAAATCAGATAAATGTCATAATGTGTAGTCAAATGTTAAATGAACAAAAAACATGTCTACAGAAAAAGTAAGGAATTTTGATTACAAGAAAGCAATTGATGTTGATAATGATGGTGATGATGATGATTATGATGTTATCTTCATGAAGTCACTGATGGTGATGAAGATGATGGTTATGGTGATGATGAGGATGAGGATGATGGCAAATTTGGACTGAGTCAATCGTCTTGGTTTAATGAAACAATGTTTCTCTGGACACACCATCACCATGTTCCTCCACTTAGATGTGTCCTCTCTTCACTGTCAGTGTTGAGATATTTTGTAAATGGAGTCCAGTGAATTATCCAGCTTCGGTGAGTCATGTTGTGGTCAGAAGAGTAATGGTTTGAAAGTTTTCTAAATCCTAGTCACCTGGACCTTTGACCTCATTACCACATGTAACAGAGACACTGAAAATGTGAGTGGGTAACAAGGATTCCACTTTTTCCAATGGCATGTTCCTTGTTTCTGTTGATCTCTACCTGCAGAATCTTTAACATTTCTATCTCTAGCAAACTCCTGTTTTCTAAGGTAATATAAACTATCTCTATCATGTCCTGGGCCTCCTTGAGGATCCTCTCTTAAAAAGTCATTAAATCCATATGTCCAGTCAACTGTGTTCATGAAATTAAGGCATAGTTGTCTATGTGACTCTGAGCCCAGCATCTTCCCCTTACTCATTTGCAAAGTGTCTGCTCCAGTCCCTATGTCTGCTGTAACCAATACACATGGATAATGGAGGCTGATGTTTTCTGGGGAGATCTTTGGGGAAAACACCTAATAAAAGATCCATTAACATACTGATACATTAGACTTTGTTAAAATTAAAGAATTTCCCCCACAAAGATCCATGAAGCCAATAAACATGTAGATGAGGACTTGCAGACTATATTTTAAAATTTCTTGTCTGATGGAAAAAAAGTGTTTATCATACAGTAAGAACATTATATGTTGTGTGGAAGATCCCATCACCCTCTGACCATAGAGATCACTCCCAGAAACAGGACTTAGGAAGGCTCAGAGTGGGGGTTTCCTGTGACATAGAAGTTCCCTCACCTGTGAGCTAATCTGTACTTAGAATTCTCTTCATTCCCTGCCCCCTGAACAATGATATCACTGACTTCACTAGACTGAGAAGACAGGTCAGTTAAATCACTGCCATAATCATTTCAACAAATGTAGAATTACAAGTTGTAAACATACATATTTACTTTTTTATTTCTAATATTTTATTCATGTAACAAAGTGATTCTCTGATGTGATTAGTTTATGGAGTTTCTGCAATGTGCAAAGAGCTTGTGTGAGGGAGCAGTTTGCACAGGGACCTTAGGGAAAACAAAAAAAAACTTGCAACATCAAGAATTTCAAGAAT